AGTAAGTTTTTGGATTTTTTTTTACTTAATGATGTTTATGATGAACTCCTGATAAATTAAAGATACCAAGTGGAAGAGGGTGTGGAATAGAGTCCTTGCTTAGCATGCTTGGGGCCCTGGGTTTATTCACCACTCAGCAACAACAATAAGATAAGATGTCTTTTTGAGGTCAGGGACTAAATACTCTGAATCCTAAAATATATTGCATTGTGCTTAGATGTTAAAAGGGGAAATTCAGATGCCATGTCTGCTACAAGATTAGGAAGCTGTGGGAAGCCTTCTCAGCCTCTTTAGCCAATTGTTCATTTGTTGAAGGAGCATGGTCAGAGTCCGAAATGTAATCCATACCAAGATTTGAGCCCAGAGCCTGGCATCTGGCTAGTACTCGGCAAGTTTTAACATTGCCACTGAAGTGCTTTTCCACCTGGGTTATGTGGTGAGCTGAACTGTTTGTACCCCTGCTGTTTTGTGTGGTTGTATCCACATCTCTAGAGTGACTGATGACAAAGACTTGGTGCTCTCCATAGTCTTACCAGAAACTGGGACATTTTAAATATCATCCAGAGGTCAGTTAAGTTAGCCAGAACAGCTGAGCATTTCTTTAAGGCACCTTACAGTGTGCTTTATTGCTAGTCTAGATTTCAGTTCATAAACTAAGACTCAAAGATAGTTTCCTAGTGATGAAAGTTTTTGAGCATTAGAAACTGTATCACCATTTCATGTTTTTCCATTGTCATTGAACTTTGGGCCTGGATTTCCTCAAGCTCTAATTTGTGTAATATAAACATGGTGGTTTTTAGCACCTTATAAAAGCCAGACGGGAGATATATTTCCTAAAGTTTTGTTTTTAAAGAAAAAAAAAAACTTTTAAAAAGGCCATCTTATTTATGTAGTATACTAAAAGAGATCTAATTCTACTTATGTATAGCTCCCAAATTAATGAATAAGGTAGTCTCATTCTGTTCTGTAGATCAGTGGGAGTTAGCAGCAAGAGACCTGTTATGTGAATATACGTTGGTTATGAAAAAAACTCTGGATTCTCATCCTGGATTTCACCCATGTGCTGTCATGGTGTTAGACTGTTTGTCCTCTGCTCACATTCTTCATGTATGGGGTCAAATACTGCTGCATAGGTTGTGTGAAAAATCAAATTATTAGATTGTATTAATGTATCTAATTCAGTGTGTACCAACTTTGTCAAACCTCTCCAAAAGTATTTATGTTGCAGTTCATAACAGTAGCAAAATTACAGTTATGAAGTAGCAAGGAAAATAATTTTATGAGGAATGGTATATTAAAGGGTTGCAACATTAGGAATGTTGAGAACCACCGAATTGATATATTGAATTGCTTGTCAGCTATGATACACACATGTATACATAGAAGTTGAAATATATATATATATATATATATATATATATATATACATACATACATATTTAGGATAATGGCCGATAAGTAATTCATCTATCAGCACTGTTGACAGCAATCCAGCCACCACCAAGTCATTTGAACATTGAGGAATACTAGGATAGAAAGAGTGTTTGCTCTACATCTTAAATTTTTCTTTTTAAGCTTATTTTAAAATTTTAATAATTTTTAAGGCTAATTCTGAGCTTTAACCTCAAGAAGTGTTCCAGTTCATGTCATAAAGCCTGCATTTTGGTCTTATTGCTGCCATCCATAGAACAGACCCACAGAAACCTTGTTTTTCATTTGCAGACAAGAATAAAATACTGTATTCTCAAATGTCCCTATGGAAAATAAACTCACTTCTTGATGGGAGTTTCTGTCCATTTACAGTACTCTTCAGTAGAAATAACTAATCCACAACAGGCATGGTGGCTCATGCCTGTAATCCCAGCTCCTCGGTCACTTAGGCAGGGGAAAGACATGTTCATAATGTGCTTGAGCTATACAGTAACTTCAAGAACACTCTGAGCTACTGAGACTCCGTGTCTAACATTTTAAACAAGGCTGGGGAAGAGTGGTGGAACACTTGCCTGCCATGAACAAGGCCCTGGATTTAGTCCTTAAACATCCCCAACAAGTACTCAACGTGTGTAATTAAATAATATCTAGTATGAGTACAGGGCCAAAAAGATGGCGCAGTGCTTAAGATCATTGAGTGCTTGCTCTTCCAGGGGATCCAGATTCTACTGATAGCACCAGTATGTTGACTCAAAACCATCTATAGGGCTTGTGAGATGGCTCAGAGGTTAAGAGCGCTGGCTGCTCTTCCAGAGGACCTGAGTTCAATTCCCAGCAACCACATGGTGGCTCACAACCATCTGTAATGAGATCTGGTGCCCTCTTCTGGCCTGTAGGCACCAGAACACTGTATAAATAATAAATAAATAAATCTTAAAAAAAAAATCTATAAATGTAACTCCAGTTCCAGGGTATCTAATGCCTTATGGTCTCTGAGGGCACTGCACACATGTGCGCAGACATACATTTAGACAAAGCATCCATCTGCACAAAATAGTAAAAGTTAAACAGAATATCTCATAGCCACATTTAAAAGAAACAAGTTTAATATTTAACTCAATGTATCTAAAATAATTGTCATTCCAATTTGTAACAACCTAAAAATTATTGAGGTTATTTTTATATTGAATATTTTAAATCTAGTGTGTATTTACAGTTGCAGTACATCTCAACCACATTTCAAGTGCTCAGCAACAGCTTGTGACCAGTGACTACAATATAGAACAATCCAGTTCTGGAATTTAGATAAGTATTCCTCATCAGCGTTCAGGTACTGGTACTGCCTTGGCCACAAGCAGCTCACACACCTTATTTTTAGAACTCTGTGTACCTTTGACTGCTTCAGCCTTAAGTCCCTTTGATCAGATAACTTAGATTAGCACTGATGTCCCTGGGAGGATAGGGTCTTACCCTTTGCGTCTTGACTGGCCTAATGAGGATTTGCTCTGGGCATGGTATGTGCCTATGCTTGGTCAAGGTTGGTAGACAGAAATGGATTGCTGAATTCATTAAAGTGATAAGACTTTTGAACCACAGGAATCAGAGGTCAATATTAGCAGTATTAGGCTTTGCCAAAATACCCTTTAGTCCTGTTTCTTATCTGTCTCTTTCTCCACTTAAATTTCAGTTATCCAGTGGCTCTGGGAAAGAGTACATACCAGGAATTGTCTAAAGGAATCCTGTCTCTGTTTTAACAAGTCAGCCCTCTGAGACATTATTTTAACTTTTGAACAAACATTTGAAAACCCCTATGGAATCTAGGTGTGGTGGTGTTTACATGTAATCCAGGAGGGCTGGCAGCAGGAGGATCAAGAATAATGAATTCATAGCCTGGGCTCCATGAGGCCCTGTATCAAACAAACAAACAAACAAACAAAATTTATGCATTCTTTAGGTGTCAGGATATCTTGAAGAACAAGACAGATACTTCTGTATTATTTTACATTGGGCTAACTTTTTATCTTAATTTTTTTATCTTAATTTTTAAACATGTTTTCTGATGTCTTTCATCTAGATTTCAGGAGAATTATAGTGAAGAGGTTACTATCCTTGACTGTTGGAAGAAAGAGAAAGATAGTATGTGACTTAAGTACCTTTATCAAACAACACAGAAAGATCTGTTAAGAAGTCACCTTCTTGGGAGGCCCACCCTGATCAATGCATCTAAACAACTGCCAGACATTGGGGCTCTGCCTCTCCTTCTTAAGGGCAGAGAAGATAAGACTACCACGTATCATTAACTGAAATTTGCATGCCTTTCTAAGCATAATACACACTCTTTAAGGATGGGGACTTCATGTCATTTATTCCTGCAGTGTCAGCTCCCAGTACTCAGTTCATTGAATAAATGAAAAATTAAATGAAATAAGTGATGTTATTTCCCATATATACTAAGTAATTATAAAATTAAATGCCTGGCGGAATTCCCCCTGTTGTTGCTCTAGTCAGTGTGATATGCTTGAGTTTGCAGACCTAATCTCAGTGGTAGGAATCTTGGTGTTTGCTCTTGACCAGTCATTTAGATAAACTTCACTTCTGTCAGAGCACATGGGCTATAAGGGGAGGGAACAGAGTAGCATGGAGGGCAATTGTAAAACAAAGGAAGGGTAGCAGTTCTATACCCTGAGAAAATTTGATATAATATAGAAAAATAATCTGGGAAAGGGAATTATTGGGATAGGAATTGGATTGCAAGTTGCTCAAATTTGTTTAAGGACACTTTTGGACAAAACAGTTGGCTTACTAGGTAACAGAAGCATAGGTAAAAAATAAAAGGAACTCATGGCCACAGAGATCAGTACTGTTGAGAGGAAGTGTGAGCTGTGTTGCCATATGGCTCCAAACGTCTATCCTTCATTTAGAATATTTATTTAGAATTCTAATTACCCTTGTCCATTTCTCAGCCATTATTCCAGTTCACCTCTTCTGCCTGTATGCTAACATGACAGCCATTTCCTATACTGTGTGCTCTGTGACATCATGGCATCTATGAGCACAAACTCATCCTACTCTGCAAGGCCAGAAATTCTGTCATAACTGCTGCTTTGTCCAGGAACCACCCTGTTGGTGTAATTGATCCGAGCATGTTGAAGGCTCACCGGTGTTTTGGTTTTCCATTGCTGTGGATAAGCCCAGGGCCTGACAGACATGATGTTCTTTACCACCGAGCTAAATGTCTCACCTCTCGAGTCTTACTAAGAACCGTTTATATTACAATCAAAGAAACTTTTAGCAAAAGAAATAAACACAAAAGCAGTAATTTTTACTTGTCTCTGTCTTACTTCTTTAAATGAGAAGGACTCTTTTTATGTAAAATATACTAGTTTTTTAATGGGCTATGACTAGAGTGTATTTAGTTTTTAAATATATTAATAGCTACAATATAAATAGATTGGAATTGTCTTGATATTGTGGCAGTGGGCTTTGATTTCAGTTAGGCTTTATTTCTTGGCTGTAATTTTAGAAGTTCATAGAGTTTAATTTTAACCTACTGTCTTCTCTCTTCTTAGTCTGTAAGACCTGTATTGTCCAGCACTTTGAAGACAGCAATGATTGTCCGAGGTGTGGCAACCAAGTTCATGAAACAAATCCATTAGAAATGTTGAGGTAAAGAATATATTTCATAATTTGTCTGATTTTAATTAATGTGCATATCTGTGATCTTTATCATTTATTATGCTATTTGAGCATAAGGTAAGTCAGGCATTTAAAACATTTTACATCGTTTTTAAATCTTTTAATAAAAGTTTGAAATAAGGTTACATAATATTTAGGAAAAATGTATGTGCAATTACAATGACTATTTTCTTGGACTTTTCAGAGTGACTTCAGTTATTTTCAGTTGCAGGTGAACTAGGTTGGATAAATGTATTGGTAATAAAATTATTAGGAAGGAAATGGTAAGGGAAAAAAGTGTGCTGGGAGAAAAGAGATTGACAGGTGATGGTACCTAAGAAAGGAGGGATGATGTGAAGTCATCAAGAAAGGATATGTGGAAAACAGATGAGATGTAGCTGCGAGTAAGTCTCATTGAAAAATGTGTGAATTAAGTGGAAAAAGAACAGAATCAGTCCTTTTGCTTTGAGCCTATGTGGGAGTGTTGTAGTGTCATTTAAAACCTTAAGGAAGTGAGGTAGCTAAGGGGTGTTCTGTGTTGGGGTTTGGTAAGAGAGTTTAACATACGTGGGTTAAAGGAGGTGGATGAATAATTGAGCATCTATTGGAAATACAGACTAGACTTAAGGTGTGAGCCGAACAACTACCCACATGTTAGTTTCAGGCCACAACAATCTATGAGGACTCTGGAAATATGGCCCCATGGAAAAACTGAAGGAAGGAAGATTGTAGAAGACTGCCTGCTCATTTCCCGGATGCTCAGACCTGAATAATCACACAGAAACTATAAGAATTATAACACTGTATTATTTGTCTCACAGTCCTTTAGGTCCAAGCAATTTTCCAGGGTAGTCCCTATTCTTGGGGTTGGGAATTCTCAAGAGACCTGGGCTCCACATCTTGATCAAGTGAAGAATGGCAAAGGCATGTTCAGAGGGTGTAACTGTAGAGAAGGCTGGGGACTTTGGGGCTGTTCCCCCCACACACTAGTATACCACCAAGGGAAGTGCTCCATGTGAGGGCAGCACTGCTGTAGGAGTGCTCCATGTGAGGGCAGCACTGCTGTAGGAAGTAAAAAGTAAGAAATCTCAACCATTTGCATATTGGATTTTGATATCTTTATTATTTATCCCCCACCCCCACCCCTGAAGGTTGGATAATACATTGGAGGAAATTATATTTAAGCTGGTACCTGGACTACGAGAACGTAAGTTGCCCTTTGGTTTCTACAGACTTTTCTTTTGTGAAATCAGTTTTTCTGTTAAAGATTTCATCCTCCATGGTTTCCACTTTTTTCCCCTTCAAATTAGAAGAACTTCAGCGTGAATTGGAATTTTGGAAGAAAAATAAACCTCAAGAAAATGGACAAGGTAACTCTATATGTGTGTTCTTGAAAGCTTATGTCATTGTTATATTGGTGGAATAGTGTCTTTCCGCACTCACAATTCTCTTGTGCAGGACTCATGGAGCCCTTCAGGAGATAGTATCTAAATCATGCACATCTGCGTGACTCCAGTTGAAGGCAACTGGAGAGAGGAAAGAGAACTGACTAGGTGATTGTACCAGGAGTTTCAGCCAAGAAAAAAGTCTTAGTGTATGCCTCAACCATGAGGGCATTGAAATAATCTTAGTGTGCACCTCAATTGTGAGGGCATTTTAGTTTTACTTCATTTATAAAAGCACTTTAATAGGAGACAAAAATGAAATGTGGCTAAGAGCCAAGTCAGGGTTTGCTGTGCTCTGAGAATGTGGAAGGAACACAGGTGGACCACTGACAGGTCAGGCTTAGGTCTTGGATCTGTCAACAAGTGTCTCTGCTCATCAAGGTGTCCCCATCACTAGGCCAAATGTTCGTGTTTCTTCTCTGGGACCTAGCTAATAATTAATGATTCAGCAGGGCCTGGAGAGAACTCATTGGCTAAAAAGCATGCCTCCAAAGCATGAGGACCTGAGTTTGATCGGCAGAACTTCATGGAAGAATGAGGCATGGGCCAGCAGATTATAGAGATGCTTGCACAGACACATGATATCTAAGTTCAGCCCTTCAAGGTGACCAGAGAGACCGACTTGGAAATCTGTCCTTTGACATCCCATGTACGCTGGAACACACCATGTTTAAAAGTCGTCACAAGGAAGGCAGAGCTAGGCCAGTCTCTGGAGCTTGCTGACAGCCAATCCACCTAATCAGTGAGTTCCAGGCCAGGGAGAGACCCCATCTCAAACAGAGAAGTGGATAGCACCTGAGAAGAGCATCCAAGGTTGAATCCTGGCCTCCATAAACACATGCATAAAACATGCGCACACACACGCACATGTACAGATTTCCACACAGTAACAGTGATTTCAGCAAATTACTGAGAATGAACTGTTTGTATATTATCCATACAGAGGGATTTGTAAATTATAAAGTAATATCATTCTTCATGTTTTTAAACACAAGGCTTCATTCAGGATGTCTTAATACCATCAAAGTGGCCCTTTGTATTTGTGAACTAGTCTCCTGTCCTTGATTTTCTCAAAAAGCCATTGAATTCTCAAAATTTCATAAAATCAGTGCCATTTCAGATGGACCAGGGAATGCTAGGTTTCTTTCTTTTTTTTTTTAATATTTATTTATTATGTATACAATATTCTGTCTGTGTGTATCTCTGCAGGCCAGAAGAGGGCACCAGATCTCATTACAGGTGGTTGTGAGCCACCATGTGGTTGCTGGGAATTGAACTCAGGACCTTTGGAAGGGCAGGCAATGTTCTTAACCACTGAGCCACCTCTCCAGCCCTCTCTTTCTCATTTATAATGGGATAATGGTTTTAGTAGTTTACTTAACTGTAGAACTAACCCCTCAGCTGGGGAGCTGTGATAGTTTTGATGAGTAGAATGGGGTACAAGGGACTGTTGTACCTCATTGTTGTTTTGTAGCAGGAAAACGAAAGATGGTGGAATGACCTAACCAAATGCTTGTTTTACCTGTGTACAATGTACTCATACAGCCTGACGTTAAAAAAACGTTAAGTATTCCAGTTTTTACTAACACATAGGCACATGGAATTGCTGTCAGAATTATAGAATAGGTTTAAGCTATGATTTGTCTGTGAGGGTTATACATAAAATAGACATTTTGTTTATCCTGGTTTAAGAATTTTATCTCCCTTTTCCTATTTTCTCCTTTTCAAAATATTTTTGGATTTGGTCTTTAATTTGAATTGGGGAGGGCACTTTTCATTGAGCTAGATGTTTGGGTCATAAAAGACTGTGTGTACATGGGTTCTATGCATACCCACTTTGGTAAGATACAAGGTAAGGCTTTTACTGTGTTGAACAACTTAGCCTCTTATTGGTAGAGAGACTTTTTAAGTGTAATTATTGGCTAGCTGATCTTTCATATTTAACTTAGGTAGAAAGATTTTATCTGGGAAAGTTTCTTGAATCGTGCGTGGCCACGAATTTCATTTACTTACCCATCCTATATTTGCCTTTTCCTGTACCCTGGCACCATACTGCTAAGAATGGTGACCCTTGGTATGTGTTGCTTTCTCGTTACTGTGATAAAATACTTAACAAGAAGCAACCAGGGGATGGGAAGAGAAAAAAGGTGGCTTAGTCTGTGGCTGACATGTCAAGGGTACAATACATCATGGCAGGGAAGGCATGAGATCAAGAGCAGAGGACTCAGTTGCATTGAATCCATTGTCACAAAGAAGAGAACAGGAAGTGGAGCTGAGCAATAAAACTTTAAGACCCACTCTTCCTCCAGCAAGGCTCTACCTCCTAAAGGTTTCATCACCTCTCAAGGGAGCCTATGGAGGTATATCCTGTTTAGACTTCATGTCCTTCAATTGTGTTGTTGTTGCCTCAGGCCTAGCAATGCATGTCTGAAACATTGTTCAGGGTATTCCATAAATGCATTGATAAATACAGTTGCATGCAAGTAACATTTTAAATAAATTTTGTTATGTGTAGCATTCATATTTTCTTCATGGAATTTTAACATGTGACTACAAAGCATGTTTTTAAAAATCTAATTCTCATTTTTCTCTGGCTGGTTTTATAAACAATTTGTAATTCAGAGAATTTAGAGAGACTATAATTTGAAAGTTAATACTTGAAACTTAGATATAATTTGAAAGTTATTTAATTCAAACATATCTGTTATTGAATTTGGAAGTATTTGGTATCCTCTTTGCCTTCTAAAGTGGCCTAATCACTAATTGCAGTCTTTTATGACCAAATATAATTAATCCAGAATCTTTTCATTTGGATTTTCCAATATACCTAGAAATCTTACACTGCTAAGTTTCTGATGGCCTTCAATGAATATTCCGTTGTTGAGTATGCTAGAGGGTTTTAAGAAGTATTAACATTCTTGATTATTCCTCAGACCAGTTAGGAAGTATTTTAAGTTGGTTATTGTTTCCTTGAGTACCATATTGTTATTGACTCTCAACTCTGGGTGACAAGGACTTTGTTTCAATTATACAGATGACATTTCAAAGGTTGATAAATCTAAAGCAGATGAAGAAGGAGATGAAAACCAAGATGATAAAGACTACCATAGAAGTGACCCACAAATTGCTATCTGTCTGGATTGTTTACGAAATAATGGGCAGTCGGGGGACAATGTAGTGAAGGTGAGTGAGCAAATTTCACTGTTAATTTTTGATGAAATTTCCAACTCATCAAAATTGATTTCTTTCAAGTTTTTTGTTTATGTAGTGCAGTTGAATGCCACTCTGTACAATCCCATACCTGGGAGTGGCCAAGACCTTGTTCTCCCAGCCCTTGGCATCCTGCTGCAACCATCTCAAGCCAATGCCACCATCTAGTGGCTACTTTTTTAAATGCAGCAGCCAACTCAGACTGGTTATTTCATTCAAGCTGTGTCTCCAACCTTTTTCTTAATTATCTTTATATTTTTTTAAACTAAGTTTTATGTGTGTAGTTGTTTTGCCTCTGTGTATGCTATGCACCATGTGCATGCTTTGTGCCAGCAGAAGCCATCAGAGGCTGTCTCCTGGAGTTACAGGTGGTTGTGAGCTGTCATGTGGGTGCTAGGAATTGAACCTGGGTCCTCTGGAAGAGCACTGGTGCCATCTCTGTTGTTTACTTTTATTTGAAACTCTATAAGCCTCAAATGCCATCACTAATATATTTCATTAATAAAATAGTAGGTTTTGAATTAAAATTGTGTTATAGCGTGCTTATGAACTGATCAAGTCCTTGAAGAATTTATTTTTGCATAGTGCTCATGTCTCATCCTGTTTCCCTGTGTCTGAACATTAAACTATCTCTTAAAGGATGATTTAATTTAAATTTAAAAAGTACCAATTATTTAAGAAGTTAAAGTCACACTTGTTAATTCTCCTCTGGTTGGTAGAGATATAAATCATAATACTAAAGAAATGAGAGGAAAACATAAAGCATTTGGGCTTAAAAAGCACAAAACTGACTTTCTGTTTTTATAAAGCTCCACAAAACTGAAGAACCATTTTGTATCCTAGAACTGCAGGCCCCTCTGAGCGCTCAGGAGGGACCGCTGCAGATCTTGCATTTAGTCTTTTAACTCCTTAGAAGCCAAAGGAGACAGGATCTGGGCCTTCATTTTATCAGCCTCTGACAGCTGCTGGTCCACTTCTGCCTCTGAAGTCGCTGAGTCGGGGCACTTCAGACCCAGGCACTCACACTGTGGCCTCAGAGAAAACAGCTTAGAAGGAGGGGACATTTCTGAATTCTGTCCTTTCTGACCTGAGTTGGACAACAGGACACAGTAAGGTGTTGTGCCATGGGGACAGAAGGTAACATTCTTGAAACATAACCGTCTTTTTCCATGTGGTATTTCTTCAGATATGCAGATATTCCCAAAATAGTGATCCTTTCTAGACATCTGAGCAGGGTAGGGTTAGACATGGACCTCCCCCACCCCTGGCAGCCTCCTGTGAGCACAATGCTTCCATTTTCCACATGTCAGGAAGGAGATAGTGAGAAGGCCGGCTTCTAACTCCTCTCCACCATCCTATCTTCCACCCAGCACCCTCCTATGGTGTCTGCGGTTTTCCTTTCTAGATGTCTGCACAGTAGTTCTCAGGTGCACGCAGCCAGAAAGCAGAGCCAGTTTAATGTGGTGTTATAAAGTGTTTCTAGAGAAAATGCTTGTTATTTATTTTCTGAGTTTTCCAACTCAGCTTTCACGTAATACAGATTGGAATTTTGTTAGATTTATGTCAGACTTTACTGAATTAAGAATTCTAGAAACATTGTTTTGCATTGTCTTAAAAATGTTGCCGTAACTATTTTGACGTCACTGAGTTATCATTGACTTGTAGAAGGTTGGACAGGGATGTGAGGAGCGGCTGGATGGCGGAGGGCTCTGCTCAAGCTTAAGACTGAATCAGAACCACCATCTTCATGTAAAACGAGACACATGAAGGCATACAGTCCTTAGTGATGTATAGAGAAGTGCAGTGGCCCATGCCTAGGGAAAGCTTTTCCTCAACCCACAGCCCACACTGCACAGCTGCAGGTGCTGAGGCGTGCTGTGGGTGGAGCAATGCCTCTCTGCTCTGTCCAGAGTTCTCCCAAGTCTTCTGTGAAAGTACTACTCTGCAGTTATTTACAGCTCTGCATCGTGCTAAACAAGTGTCCCTACCATTTAATAAAATACTGACATCTTTGTGGCCTTTTTCTTAAACTATTTCTTTATTTTTAAAAATTGTTGAAAAAAAAACAGATTGTCTACTTGACAGAATTTTGCTAATTCACAGTTTTACTTAAAAGAATTAAAAGTTTTGGGTTTTGTTTTACATTTTGAAAATCCTTAAGCTTATAGTGAAAATCATGCCTTTGTTTTTGGTTTGGTACAGTTTGTTTTGGGATGGTCTTAACTACACTTGCAACCCAGGTGGAAGTCAAACTTAAATCCTGCCTCATCCTCTGAGTGCTGGGATTACAAACATGTGCCTCCGTGCCTGAGAATGCCTAAGGCTTTAGTCAAAGCAAATCAGAGCGTTCATTTTGTCATTTGTTTTCTGTAGGGTCTCATGAAGAAATTCATTCGATGTTCTACACGAGTCACTGTAGGAACTATTAAAAAGTTTCTAAGTTTAAAACTAAAACTTCCAAGTTCTTATGAGGTAAGTAAAATAATATCTAATTGTGATTGTTTTGATGATTCTTATCTTTAGTAAAATTCTAGCAAAAGAAGTAAAATAAGAATATATAAAATTTTTGTAGAGACTGGTAATTTTTATTATAATGATAAATAGAATAATAAGAGTATAATGTTTATATAATATTTTATGACAACGTATCCCAAACAAATCACATTAATGCATTTGCAACAAAAGGAGATATTTGTCAAACTTACATTAAATACTCCCAAAATAAATCTCCTGGCCAAACGAGTTCTTTCTTTTTATAATGTCAGCGTGCTGTAAGGTGTGTCACTTTTAGAATTGTTTGTTTTACTGCCTAACGACTTTATACATTTATCTGGGGAATCTGAGTTGCTTTCCTACCCACTCCCCTTTCTCATCACCCCTCTGGTTGGAACCCTTCTCAGTATACTTTACTCCTACTTTTGTGCCTTTTTGTTTATGTTCCATTAAATTTAATAAGAACTCCTTGCCTGAGCCTGAGTAAGAGGTTATTTACTGGAGCAAGCACATCTTATACTGGCTACACCATGACCCCTTCCCCAAGCAACCATGAATTGCCGATAGTTCCCCAGCATAGGATGGGGCTTCGTGGACTCCTCTCCCATCTGTGATGAGATGATGCTCTGCCCAGCCTCGTGCAGGTCTTGTGTGGTTAACTAGCTGCAAGAAGTCCGTTAGTGCGGAGGCTGTGTCATGTCCAGAAGAGCCCTTTCTGCTGTCCATCTCCCCATCCTCTGACTCTTAAAGTCTTTCTTTGATGTCCCCTGAGCCTTGGAGGACAAAGCACAAATCTCAGGAGGCAAACAGGAGTGGATCTGAAGTATGGGCGGGCTCCCTATCCTCCAGTGGTGATCTGGAGCAGGGACCAAAATACAGGCTCACTCTATTAAGATGTGTGACTTCTTATGAGACTGTAAGTCCCTTTAATAGGTCTCTTCTTAAAAGAACTGAAGTGTGATGGGATTTAAGCACAGACCTTGACAGGAAGGAGTCTGAGGAAGCATCTGATCTTGAACCCAATGGAAATATCTGACGTGGTAATGACTAGTCGAGGTTACATTTTTTTATTAGTTTGGTTCTGTGGCTTTTAAAAACTTCCAGACATGGGCTAGAGAGATTACACTGCAGTTAAGAGCACTGACTCTTTTCCAGAGGACCCAGGTTCAATTCCCAGTCCAGCTCACAACTGTCTGTAACTCTAAGATCTGACATCCTCACACAAGCAAAACACCAATGCACATAAAAATAAAAATAAGTCATTTGTAAACATAAAAGGTAACAATTTATAGATAGCTATAGTGAAAAGTATACAATGAAATTTTCTTACTGTATTGTTTATCTCTTTTGTTTTCTTCACGCAAAATACCATGTATAGTTTTACTTCTCTAAAGTCTGGTTTGTTGAGTTTTCTTTTTTTTCTTTTTTTGGTTTTTCGAGACAGGGTTTCTCTGTGGCTTTGGAGCCTGACCTGGAACTAGCTCTTATAGACCAGGCTGGCCCCGAGAGTTAATTTTCTTTCTTTTTTTTAAAAAATATTTATTTATTTATTATGTATACAATATTCTGTCTGTGTGTATGACTGCAGGTCAGAAGAGGGCACCAGACCTCATTACAGGTTGTGAGCACCATGTGGTTGCTGGGATTGAACTCAGGACCTTTGGAAGAGCAGACAATGCTCTTAACCTCTGAGCCATCTCTCCAGCCCGAGAGTTAATTTTCTTATCTTCAGGAAGTTACTAGAGCTAAGAAAACTATTCTGTCTTCTTCCATAAACAATGATCTTAGTTTTTAAATAATTCCTTATCTATCCCAATCAAAGAACTTGTCCTTTGCTGCCTTGAAGACATAGATTGGTCTTATACTTTTTTTTTTTTGCTGCCCGGCATATAGCGCTGTGATTTAATGAAATGTCTTAAACGTCCATAGCAGCGTCACTAATTGGTACAGGGCACTTGAGTTGATGACTGTGGGTGCAGCCTGCCTGGTTAGTAATTGCACCTTTACATCTTTGCTTAGGAATTTGTTTTACAGACAGGATAAGAGAGGTGCCTACTTTGTTCTTTTAAGAATTAATACAATAACTGAAAATTTTCAAAATTTACATATCACCACAAATCATTAAAATATCAATAATTTAGTTCATATATCTAATATAATTGGGACTAAATTTTGTGTTAGTCTTCAAGTTAAAAATTGTAGTCTTTGTTTAGATAGATACAAATTTGTTTAAGACTCCTTTCCCCTTCACACTTGAAATAAAATCTTAACCAGTTTCTTTCATTAGAAACTAAAGGACTGAGATATCTCTTTTATAGGATCTTTGATAAACATAGATTATATATTCTTTGTTGAATTATAAACCACACACAAGGTTCTTGTAGCCTTTCGAAGCTTGGTTTCCTACAGCCTCAAACATGAGGGGGAGGTTTTGTACATACACTTTGTTGTGACATTTCATACAGGGTGAGAAGAGGATCCACAAGTACACCGAGAGGCCAGATAGCCTGGAGCACAGGTCTGTGCTGCAGGTGTTATGCCCCATCTCTTTGATCCCATGATAGCTCAGAGCACAGGTGTGTGCAGCAGCTGTAATGCCTTGTCTCTTTGATCCCATGATAGCCTAGAGCACAAATGTAATGCCTCATATTCCCCATCTTTTTGACACACACACACACACACACACACACACACACACACACACCACCCCTGCTAAGGAGAAGGTGAAACTCCTCTACGTCCCAGGAACTTCAGAGGATTTCGAGTAGTGAATTTAGAATGAGTTTGCTGCATGTCTGCACTCTCTACACATCTCTATACACTTGCTACACTCTTCTCATTTGTAAGAGTAATCCCATGTTTATAGAATAAAACGTGTAGGATTGCAGAAACATGAATCAAGATAGTTGGTACTGTATTTGTAAACTGTATCAACATGAGATGTGGTTGTGTTGCTCAAGATAAATGATGTTTTATCTAGTTAGATCTGTACCATTGTCATTCTGTGGGAGAGTGGTTTTAATAAAAAAAAAAGTCAGTGTTTTATAATTGGTACTTTTATGTTGGTATAACTAATTGAATCTTTTAAAATTTGAAAATACATAAAAGTATGAATTCAGTTTTTCTTTGGACTGATCTATTTTAATTATTCTTTTTAAAGTTGGACGTGCTGTGCAATGGTGAAATTATGGGGAAGGATCATACTATGGAATTCATCTATATGACAAGATGGCGACTAAGAGGAGAAAATGTAAATTGCTTTTATATTTACCTATGTGTATATTTAGTTATATATTATTATGTAGTTTAAATTTAATAGTATCATTAAGGAGCTTTAAGAAATTAATTTGGGAAAGAGAAGAAACTGGATCCTCTTTATTCCCAAGCACCTAAAACTTGGTCCAAGTACAAGATCAGTGACTATGTTAAATATTTTGAAGGTGAGTTTTTAAGTCCAGCAGTAAATAAATCCAGGATCGTGCTAGGCTGAGGGCAGAGGTGTCGTGTACTTTCTAAATCCTTGTGTCTGCTAGAAATGTGAGTGAGTGAAGTGGGCTCAGACAGACTCTTTTCTGCCCTGATAGCACTGGGGCTGTGGTGGAGAGAAGAGGTGGGTAGGATTTGATGATCACTGAAAGTATAAAGCTGGACTTAAGGATGACTGCATTAGCAGAGGTTTCTGATCCAGCAGTAGATTCCTGTGCTTTTGGCCGTAGTGATGAGGGAGAAATTGTTCACAGGAGAAAACCTAAGGTCAATCCTTCCCCCCAAAACTGGTTTTTGTGTGTGTGTTTTAAGTATTTTTGGTTATGTTCTAAAAAAAATAAAATAAAAAACCTCTTTGAGTCCACCTGAGCCAGGAATATTAGGGAAATGTGTGAGGCACTCTGCGTACTGTATTACAAGCCTGTCTGGGAGTAAGGAGCACTATTGTGAACAATGCTACCACAGATTCCCCTGATCTGCATACATAAATACACCTAAGATTGAATAGAAAGCTGCGCTGCTTAACACCCAAGCTTACCCATGAAGCAGTAAGAGTGTGGTTTTTATAATACAGTATGTTGTACATTAACACTATAATGTTTCTACTAGGTTTTATTGCATTTTCTTATGAAAATGTTATTGACGAGATACCTCACACAGTACAGATGATGTAGTGTTCACCAATAGTGACGGTGACTGTTTCAGTAATGACATGACGTTTAAGTAACATCGGTTGAACTGTTAGCAAACCTCAAAAATCCTTGTACGATAGAGTGCTTAAGATATTTGTCTACTTTTTTAGAAGAAAATGTGATGATGTGATAATATTGAAGCATCTAAGTTCTTAAATCAAGATTTTTGTTGTTTTCCTGTCTGGTTTTTGCATGAATCTTCTCTGTGAGGCTCAGTAGTCTAGTCACTGGCAAAAATGTTCTCAAGACCGGGAAGAAAATTTACATTCTAGTGATGTGTCCTTGAAGAAGATATCAGACTACTTTAGGGTGCATCACATAAATAAAATCTACCTTGTTTGTAGACTTTATGGTTTCATGGGATCCTTAAGCCTGAAATGTTTCAGGTACAGGTATACACTGCAGAGGGTAAGTCTGCATTGTTAAAAGCAAATACTCCAATTCTACAGTAACAGTCCTGCAATAAAAAGTAATTCTGTCTTTCTTTGCTAGTTCAGTGGGCATTTCAGCACATGAGTGCTAGAACTCATCACTGGGAATAGGCCAGACTGCAGGTTTAAGGTCACCTCTCCTACGGCTCACCTGTCTGTGACAAGTGCTCTCCTGAAAATTGCCCATGGTGTCCATTTGTATGGGGGACTGTGTTTTGAATGAAGATTTTACTATTTAGCTCAAGCTGGCCTGGAGCTCAATAGCACAGGCTAACTAACCTCAGACTAATATTCTCCTGCCTCTGCCTCATTAGAAGCATAGGCCATCAAGCTCAGCATTGCTAGTTATTTTAATGTCAAAGCATGAAAGGATTAACTCATATAAGCCTTTTGCTAACAGACTGCCAACTAAATTAGTCTTTATGTAATTACATTTCTGACCACACAGTTCTGAGGTTTCAGGTTTTTAGTTTTATTAGAAAAGATGACCCTAGGTGGCTTCTACCCTTCTCCTCATGATGAATTATTTTAAAATATCTTTATCCTTACGAATTAAAACAAGTACCTGGTCAAACAGCTGCTATAACTTTCATAGTTCACAACAGTATTTTTGTTTGGCAGTTGTTACTCCTAATGTTAGGGTTGATCTGTTGCTGACTAGTAGGATAACAGTAGTGCGTCTTAAATCTTGGTACAAACACAAATGCTCTAGGGATGATAGCAAAGTACAGTTCTGCTCAGTAGGCTTGGGGTGGCCTTGAGTCATTTCTAGAAGGCTCTACTCATGTGAACACCTGAATCTTTAGAGAAATTTTGGGAGACATGATCAGTGGCCAGGTTTCTTCTGTGACTTCTACAAGTTGAGGGTATGGAATTAAAGATTCATGTTTCAGTCAGGGGTTACTCAGTTGTCTAATGTTGCCAACAATCTAGTATTTCTCTTCATAATGCCAGTGCCAGTGGTCATAAGTTTTCTGAGACATAACTAGAATCATATATATTGCTAGCAAGTTTATTCTCATTTGATATGTCTTATGGAAAACCATTGCATTTTGAAGTCATTTCTCAAAATATTGATACAATTCAGTTTGCAGTACTAGTATAATTTAATTAACTATTTTGGTGGGCATTAGGAGTTTGTTTTAGTTTTAACATTTCAAGCAGTGCTGTATATAGTACAAGGCATGTATTTCTGCAAATGAACAAGCATAGCCATTGCCTAGATTGCTAGGTTTTCAATGGACTAAGTTTCACAGTGTGAGAGGTTGTCAGTTCTTAGAAAAAAGTTTCACAAGTTCTAGTTGTACCAGTAATGTACAAGAGGCCCATTTTCTGACTTCTTGGTGCTCATATTAGCAACATAACGTCTTTATGAGTGTTCATATTATTGCCCTTTTAATCATGAGTTTGTCGTCTTCTGGTTGACTTCTGGGAACTGCTTTTGTGTTCTGAACACTTTTTGCTGTGTATGCTGAAGCTTTCTTTTTCTCCCAGTTTTGTTCTGCCTCCCAATTTTTCCTCAGTTCTTGGAATCCTTAAAATTGTGACAGTACCTGTGTAGGAAAATTTAGCAAGAATTAATATTATGTGCTAAAATGCTTAGCAGAATGCCTAGTCTAATAAATGTAAAAAAGTAACAGTGTCTCCGTTAAACTGTGTTATGATCTTCATCCACTCTCCCTCCACTCCGTGAGAGCTACTGTCAGCATCTATCTGTTCGTCTTCAGCTTTCCATCACGGACCGGACCAGACCAGACCAGTGTTGTTCCTGCTCGCTGTCTGGTTAGACTAGCTGCCTTTGCCCAAATGCTCTTCCTGCAGCCTCAGCCACTTCAGCACCATGCCTGCCTCTCATTGCTTGATTTGCAATTTCTGGCAGTTTTAGGGGGAAAAAAACATCTGTTTTTACTGATACCAAAGAGATTAATAGGAAAAATTCAAGAAATCACTTCTATCTTAACTCTCTATTCTTACTGAATGATTTTTGCAGCTTGCACAGTCAGACAAATGTGGTAGGTTAGAGCTTGAGGACCGCCTGAGCCAGAAAAGGACAGAGATGGCGGCTGTGCTGAGAGCATGACAGTGAGCATGGTGCATAATAAAGGACCAGCTCCAGAAAACCTGGGGACGTTTATTATCTTACAAAGTCGGCTTTGGGAAGTTAAACTTTTCCTGATTAATTTAAATTTAATTTTTCAGCTTTTTTTTTACATTTAATTTTTTCCATTTGGAAGAATGTACTGTGTTACATATGTGCATAACTTAGAAGTTAGTTGCATAACTATTAAGACTGCAAACCTGCGCATCAAACAGACTCAAGGAGCTCATCAGTGCTGTTAAAACAGGCATGGGGATTAAGAATCTAACCTAAGCAGTATGAAAGTAAAAGGGCAATGCCTCAGTCCCTCAAAGGTTGATGGAGTCCCTGCCCCTCAGAGTTCTGATCTTAAGTACTGTTCTCAGAGTAGCTGAAGAAGAGGCGTAGGAGAGATCAATCTCAGGAACAGGTGGGAGAAAGATGGTACCCACTCTGTACTAAGAGAAGAAAGATGATGGTACCCTCTGTACTAAGAGATGGGTATGCCTCAGAAACTAGCATTTGAAAATGAAATGAAAGGGGTAGGATACCATCTTGGTTGGTTTAGAATATTAAAAACAAACAAATAAATTATTAAAAACCTGCATAGATAAATGTTAAAATTACTTAACACTAAAATTTACCAATCACCAGGTTACTAAATATTTCCCCTCCAAAAAAAAAAAAAACCACCATTCCTCAATGTTTATTTAAATTTCTCATGTTGGCACTTACTTTTGACATTAAACTACTTTAAATAACAAGTTTTAAATGTGTCCCATTGTGGATGCCTCTTATCTGATGAGTTCATCTCCTCCGCAGTTTCGCTGTCTGAACTGCTCAACCTCGCAAGTCTGCTCTCAGGATGGCACTTTGTATCAGGTAAGAGGCACTCATGGCGGTACACATGACCATCACAGTGCCCTGTGCTTACCACTCCCATCCCAAACTCAAGTTCTCAGACTTGTCACTTTGTAAGAGCAATTTTTAAAGTCTTTCCAAACTTAAATAACAAGTTTCCCATTATTTCATTTCTCCCGAATTAACCATTTTACTGAACTAAAAAATGAAATTGTGTGTAACAACTATTATTTATGAATCAGGAATTTTTAATAATCATTTATTTCATCCCCTGAGAAATCTCTAATCTGTCTTACATTGAGATGAAATGTCAAACTGAGTGACTCTAAATAGGGCTAGGGCTAACTCTTAATTGTGATCTGGCTGCCGGGCCCACCTAACTGCTGCTCTGGCTACCACAGAGGAATATGAGTTCACTTGTAACACACAAGGAGTTTAAACTTGTGTCTAAGAAAAACTTTTTTGTCTAATAAAAACACATTTTAGAAATTTGGGAAACAGGCTGGAGAGATGACTCAGCAGTTCAAAACCAGTTTTGATTCCCAGAGCCCACATCAGGTGGCTTATAACTACCTAAACGCTGGTTCTAGGGCATCTGAGACCCTCACTGATATGCACATGCCCGCACACATACATATATTTAAAGGTAAATACTTTTAAATGGAGAACAGAAGAGTGTACAGTACAGTAAGGCATAAATATTATATTACTAAATGCAGAGATAACATGGTCAGTCTTAATCTCATGGATGAGTTGTAGTATTTCTTTAAAATAATCCATTGCCCTTTACCCCAGTAATTAAGAAAATCATCAGTCTGGTTCCAGTAGTCAATAACTAGCAAACTTCAGTGTTGCAGTTCTAAGGTTGAGACAAATTAGTTTATATTGTGTCTTAAAAGAATACTTGTGAAGTCACTAAGCAGAAACTTTAATGAGCAGCATATCTAGAATTTTGCTCTTTTGGTTAATGCTGTGATTATGGGAATCTCAATTCATTAAAATGAGCTTTTTGATACATATTTTTTTTTAGGAATGGAGTTGTAGTAGGAGCTGCGGGCTGTGTTCCTGCAGCACAGCTCCCGGCCACCTGGCTAGCTTATGCCCCGAAATAACAACACACAAACTGTATTCATATAAACACTGCTTGGCCCATTTCTATTAATGTGTGTAGCACCACGAGGTGCGCTTACCAGGAAGATTCTAGCCTACGTCCGTCCTGGGTCGGAGCTTCATATTCATAGCGTCTGCCCTGGAGAGGAGAGCGGCATGGCGATTGCCTAACTTCCTCTTCCTCCCAGCATTCTGTTCTGTTTACTCCACCCACCTATGTTCTATCCTATCAGGCCAAGCAGTTTCTTTATTAATTAACCAATGACCTACCTCCATCATGGAGTAACCTGACATACTTCTAAATGGGCTAAGAGCAAGCCACCCAGAAAGGAAGCTGTTCTTTCTTTGTGCAGATGAGCACCAGGGCTGAGCAAACAGTTTAGCTGATGTAGTGAGATTGATAAACTCCAAATGACAGGGGTGATAAGTCATGGTGATAACCTTGTCTGTATTATAACCCGTGGTCCATCACTTCCACATCTGTCTTCATATTGCTGTCGGTCTCCTGAGAGATGAAGTTGCTCTTTAGCTCTGATGCTAAGTGTAGAAGTACGTCGGATAAGACAAATCTTCACCCACACACTCACTTCCTTTTCCTCAACGCTTCATTGTGGATAACAATCTTGTAAGAAAATTAAATCTTGCATTTAAATTTTCCCAAAATCATTTCATAAAGGGAACGTCAATATGACAGTCAAACTTGACAGTGAGTACAGTTAGACTAGAACCAAGCAAGGTGGCACAGGCATTAAGCATGCATGTTTGTCTTGCAGAGGACCAGCGTTAAGTTCCTAGTACCACATCAGGTGGCTCCAGGGAATGGACCCCTCCCTGGACAGTTTGGGCACCTGTATTCACATAAGCACAGACCCATACATATACACCTAGTTTAAAAATAAAAATAAAATCTTTTGAAAACTAGAACCAAATATCACTTTGAATATAAGTGCAATGATATTACTAAATAATGTACAAAAATGTACTAAAGGGATAAAACCAAGGCCTGGTAGAATTTATATCAGAAGTGAAAGAATAGCTTAATATTATAGAGACAAAGACAAATAACAAGCTAGTATATCTCATGATACTCAAATGAAAATCAGTAAATGCTGAAAAGACATTTGATAAAATCCAAGGTTAGTACTCATTTTCCTACTACTTAGTTTGAAGTTTGAAAATTGAAAACTGAAGTAATTACTTCAAATAAATCTTTTACCTAGATTTACCAATTAATATTTCACATTTTCTGTCTCCTCTTTGTCTCCTTGTATGTATCTTGGAGGTTTTTTTTAATAAAACTGTTAAAAATAAGTCAAGTATATGGGCAGGTGATTACAGAATTTTTTAGTCAAATATATATTTCCTCAAAACAAAGAACTACTCATGAATATCCCGAGTTCGTTTCACAAACACAGACTTTAAATAGCATCTTAGATGTCATGCTATGCACGAAGTCAAATTATGAAGTTAAATGTAACTCTGCATACTTTTACAATATCTTGTTTAACTGAACAAAGTTAAACTCACGCAAATCAGGAACTAGGTGTTTCTGGTCAGTCACATTTTCAGATAAGTCATGAATGGGACATGGTCACTGCCACCTGCATGCAACAGTGCATCAGAACACTGAGAGCTCAAGTCAGGTGCTGATCTACACAGGCATGAGGAGAGAGAACTGCTCCCGGATAAGCTCTTGTCCAGGAGCCTCCGATTGCAGTGGTTCCAAGGGCTGAGGCAGAAATGTTCCTTTAAAAATAGCTGTTGCGCATTGTAAGTATGCTTGGGGGTATTCTTCTAGCCCTGGGACTATCGACATAAACATCAGACACAACTTTTCACTCATAGAACAATTAGACAAAAAAAAAAAAAGGAAATTTTAGTGTCCAAGGGAAACTAAGTAGATACAGATGTCTTGGTAACATATTTGTTTTGCAGGCGTGAAGACTTGTATTCAATCCCAGAACCCATATAAAACTGGGCAGGTATATATTTAATCCCAGTCTTCTGGAGACAGAGACAGGTGGATTCTTGTGGCTCCCTAGCCAGCAAGTCTTACCTGTTGGCTAGCTCCAGGTGAATGACAGTCCCTGTCTCAGGAAATAAGGTGGACAGTCCTAGAGGAGCCATTCTCATGATTACTTTTAGCCTCCACAAATGTGCATACACAGAGAGAGATGAACATGCACCTCCCCAGACACACACACACGGGAATATTTTGTACAGTAAGATAATCAAAGAAAAAATTCTTAAACACGGTAGGTTTCAATTGTGAGGAAGACAGCCATGTGAGTATAAATACAGAACACTTAAAGCCAGGAGAACACACAGTGGCCTTGAGAAACAGGTGTGTCTCGCCAGTCAGGATCTCCAAGGAAGCCCTCCCTGGCATTGGAGCAGGCAGGAGAGGGGATGTTGGAAATGACACATTCAAAGACCACAGTGTTGGAGGTCAAATGCAGATCTGGGACTCTTGGTTAATTGCACTAAGACCACAGCAAAGCACTTCAACTCAAGTCTCAGATTATACACAGATACACACTCTTGATGGATCAAAACAATTAATGTTAAAAATTGTAATATAAAAGGTGAAGAAGAAAACATAGGCAAATGATTTTTTAGCAGAGACAATCTTTCACACTTTACCTTTGAAAATTAAAGGGGACAAATCATGACTTAACTATTAATATTGAAAAGTACAAGGCAGAAATCTAATAAATTTTGCAGTATCTGACAGGAAATGGATTAATGACATTAGACATAACAACTACTATATATCTGTAAGAAGAAACTTTCCATGATTGGACAAGCTATAGAAAGGAAATATAATTGACAAAATATAGATGTAATTAACTTTTTAGAAGTCAAGAAATAATGTAAAAATGATACTTTATGTTTGTTAAATTGCCAAATTAAAAGGGGAAAGAAATGTCAGGAATTTGCACATTTCAGTAAAATTATTAGACTTCATGTGTCCACAGAACAAACACAAGTTTTGGGGGAGTGGAGAGAGAAAAAAAAAAGGAATCTTAGCCCCAAACAGAAAATGTCAGCCATTGACAACCAAGCTATTTTACTTCTATGTCTCTTTTTCACCTCCAATAGAATTGTTGCTGGACTCTATATAATGAACATATTCTAAAACGGGTAAATTTTAATTGCAGGAGTCAATCAGGAATAGAAAGTAAAGTTCGAAAGGCTGTAATAAGGGTAAGCTGGGGATGGAGAGGAATAGAATGGGGCTTAATAAAGTTAGATAAGGTGACTGTCAGTGGTCTCAAAAATCTGACGGCTTCAGAAATAGAGAACTTTGTGCTCAACTACCTGGTTATAAGCTGGTTCTGTAAGACCAGAGAAAAACTTAAGGTGAGTACAAGTAAACAGAACTAAAAAGCCGAATAAGGCTAAGACTGTTGGAACCTTGCAAATCTGAGACGTGTATGCCAGCCCATTAAATCAGAAACAGCACTTGCTTAGTCTTCAGCTGAGAACAAGGCCCATGGCATCTTCACCACTCCCTTGTCCTGTCCTAGCTGCTCTTAGGACATAGCAGCATTGAGTCTCTGGAAAGGCATCTCAGGATTGCAGAATCTCAGTCAGTGCTCTCTCCTGAAGGCTTTGCACCTACCTATCCTGAGGTAGCAGAACATTGGTCAGTGGCCATCTCATCCTTTTCTTGATTCTTTGATAGTTAGCTCATTGAATCTCACTAAAAAATGAAAACCTGCCAGTTTTAGAACAGGAAAATTGTCAGTTCTGCAGACTGCTTTCTAATGATTTGGTTCTCTATGGTGGTGAAGGTGAAGGTGAAGGTGATGAAGCAGGTGGAGAGAGAGAGTGGCCCTTACCTCCATCTGCAGGAGGTCCTTCTCTCCCCAGGACTGTGTGTTGGGTACCTGGATGCCAGAGCCTTTGTATGGAGAGCAGCACCAAGGACAATGAAAGCTTTTACTTTACTTACATCATCCAATAGCTGTGAACACTATATCATATTGAAAGGAGGCAGTCCCCATTCCATGTAACAGTTAGGTACATGTCTTCAATACTGCTAAAGACCATTTCAAAATAGATCTTAAATATTAAAGGAAGGGGATATCAAATGTATTAGTAATATTGTGGAAATTCCAGTTTTACCCATTCGCAGAATAGGGTCTCTTACTCTTGTGTGGTTCAGTGGGTTTTCACCAGCAGTAGCCATGGGAGAATCCAGGGCTCAAATGCTCAGCACACAGAGTTGCTGGTGGGGTGCAGCGTGTAGTCCTCCATAGGCCCTCCACAGGAAGGGAGGGGAGGGGAAGGAGGAAGGGAGGGAGAGGTACTGATAGTAACCTAAATGACAACCTAAATTTTTAACTTTTGTAATTATGATTATCAGTCAGTATAAATTATAATCCCCAGTTCTTCAGAGCTTTTCTGTATAAACTCTTGTTCTCATGTAAACACAGTCTTACTCATACTTTCTTTTTTATAGTCGTACCCTATGGTATTGCAGTACCGACCAAGAATTGATTTTGGGTAGGCCGAGGGGCCCAGCCTGCACGGAAGGAACCCTGCACTGTTTGTTTACTCGTCGACAGATTGCACAGTGACGGTGTGTGGACTCGGAGACACAGTCTGATTGTCAGCATGCACATAAGGCATCGTCTGTCTTGAAATTGTCAGTTTCCTTCATGTCGTTTCTCTTAGGAGCAATCCAAGTGCCCTTCTGCTACTGACCATCTGCATAAGATACTCGTCTCGTCTCACAGTGTGCAAGGCACGGCTGGACTCGGTTAGGTGTGCAGCCGTGACTCTGCTTTCTCAATATTTTGCTTGCCTGTTGCAAGATTGTTCTAATGTTAATTACACTAGTAAAATGGCTCAATCCTTGTGGTGTTGCAGTTTTCACATACTTAATACTTTTATTCTTGTTAAAATAGAGTACTGTACAAGAACCTAGTATAATTATATCTTGAAATTATTTTGTATAAGAATATATTTAGAAAAGTGGTTTCTGAACCACTGTCCTATTCTTGGTAAACTTTTATGTAAAAAAGAATAAACAGCCAAAAAAAAAAAAAAACCAAAATACCAGCTCATTCTTGAGTGTAAGTCCTTTTGTGAAGAATTCCAGTTACCTTTTGACCAGAGCACATTACAATGTGAGATACCCTGAAAGGTCTGGGTAGTCTCTGCCATTGCACAGGAAGGCATATTAGCCCTTCACATTGAAAACATATATGATTTGGACAACTGAAGTTCATAACGTTGGCAGCTGATCATACTGACTTCTAATAAATTAATGTGTGAGTATGTTGACGTCTGTTACTGTCTTAGGGAAGTGGGTGTTGCTTACAAAACTCCATTGGTTGTCTGGCCCATGTTGTGTGCATCATTGCATTGTTGACGCCGTTCTTTGAAGTATCGTTTCTTCCAAGTTGTCCTTAGGCGTGTGTTGTGGCATGCAGAGGGTTGTGTATGATGGTTTTAAATACTAAGACGTTAGATAATATTCGCTCATTTATGGATTTCCAAAATCTCAAATTACTGATCCAGATTGTTAGCTGCACAGCACATATCCAAACCATACGCACAAAACAAAATAAATGCCATGTAGTAGATAAATATTCTAACCAAAATTAGTGGTTTGGGGTAGTTTATTAGGTTACTATAGTAAACAGGAGAAGTGGGATTGTTGTTTTAACTGTGAGTTCATTAAAGGTGGGTGTACCAGAAGTGAGAACCGTGATGGTGTACTTGATGTTGGCAATTTGCTTCCATCTTCCATTCATTTTAAAATTAGCCTGCAAGTCAGGTCCTCTGTTACCTTATTACATGAGTAACATTTTAGCTCTTGTAAAATACATAGTTGAAAAAGAAAACTGTGGAATATGTCAGTTGGTTGCTTTGAAACAAGTTAACTTCTGAGGGGTGGGGAAATGAGGGAAGATGACCGCTTATAGAAATCTGACGAGCACTGCGTGTTCACACATCGTTGTTAAGACTGAACATGGGTGCTCTATGCTTTCCAGCAAAATATGTCATAAGCTAATGCTTTCTGGATTCCAGAGTGCGCCATAGAAATAAAACATACAGCCCTAAGAAATAACAAAGTGCAGCTCAATCTTGGCATATTTCATAATATAAAAGTTTAAAAGTTTGGGATTATTTTTCCTTTTATCTTTTTTTTTCCAAGTCAAAAAGTGTATTAAAGTTCGCTGCATTAGAAGACCACAGCATCTTTAACTTTATCTTGTTAGAATGGCCGTTCCTGGAAGAACTCACAAGCAGGGCTTAAAAGGCAGTTCATTTACTCTAAAGTTTAGAGACGATCATTATACTTGACAAAAAAAAAAAAAACAATTTATTATCTGGCTATAGAAATGATTTTGACATTTTATAAAACCTAGTTGCCCCTAAAAAAATTTTAAAGATACTATATTTGTCATGTTTAGATAAGTGTATTTTAAATATGGAGGTTAATTATAATAAACTTAAGTCAAAATCAGTTTTGAAAGCCACACGCTGACTCAGCTGTTTGGCTCCCCAACCAAAACTTAAGGCCATAGGTGAATTAAATATATATGATTACTTTAAATTTTGCTAGTTGCCTGACATGTTACGACTATTTTCCAAGGGATACATAGGAAACAGTTAATAAAACAGCCGTTTTATAAAAATTCTTCTTTATTTAATGTTATGCATTGGTGTTTTCACTGAGATGCAATAGAGTATGTGCCAAAACACACCATTAAGGACGGCTGATGTCATATGGAAACATGAGTAATGTGGTATTGCTGGTGGCATCGGGCTTTTTCAGCCGCCTCCTCTGGTACATCAGCCAAGTGTGGAACATTTCCTTGACTGGTGTGACACGTACCCGCTGTGGGAAACATGAGCAGGCACTGTTTGTGGCCAGCTTTACATGTACAGGGTTTCTTTAGCATGACCCAGTGTATTTAAATAATCTTCAGGAATAGCACTCTGGATCTATACACTTAAGAATAAATGAACATTATTCTTCAATCTGTTGTTCCTTAAGCAATAAACTAAAGAATTCTACTCCAGAAAAGATTTTGTTACCTGTTTTACCTGCCTTAAAAATCAGACATAAAGAGACCAAGGAATCTTGGCTATAAAAATGCCTGTGGTCTGTAAGAATCTCTTTAAATTGCAGTAATCACATAATAGAGAAATGAAAACGTCCTTTTCCAAGCTTAAAAAATAAACTAAAAGGCTCATTGATGAGGTTATATTAAGTCTGAGATTTGGGTATCGAGAATAATGGTTTTTGGCAGCTTTTACATATTCCTTATTCACCAAGCATCTGCCCCATACTAGTGTGTTTCACGGGACAAATGCAGTGAGCACAGAAGAAAGAACCCAGTGTGTTATATAATGTGAACCGTTAAGCTTTACTGACTGTTTAAAAGAAAGTGCCTCATTGCTAAAGTGCATTCTGTTTTAGGTTTCCTGCATAAGTCTCCAGTCATCTATATCTGTCTCATAACTGGTTTCATATCTAAACGGGCACTTAACAAGCTAAAGTAGTCTTTTTAGAAAGAGTTTTATAAGAATATAGGTATCACCAAAGACGTTTTATTGTTAGTAACCATGTTGGAGAGAGTTTGGACAGTTGAGAGGATGGGAGCTGTTAGACTGTGACATCGCTTACTGAAGCACTGCCCATGATGCACTGCGGTGAGATTTCTGGGTGGGGCGGGTCAAGTGTCTCCGCGGCAGCCAGCATACTCCTCTTCAGGTGTGTGCACCTTTGCTTCAGCACCATGCAGTGGATCTTAGAAAATCCTCACGTGTGAGGAAGAAAGAAATACCGTCCCCATGAAAATGGGTGAAATACAGACTTAGAAAATTTAGATTTTTAAATTTTAAGACGCCTTTTATTCCATGGAGGTGGCCTGATGGAAATTATGCCTGTTTAGCTCCGGGCTTCTTGGTAGACACGCTTTAGTAGAAGTGCCGAAGGGCCTGCCTGTGTAGGACATACATAGTACATCCTACTGGATTTACAGATGCACTTTTGCTGTTTTGAAAAGCGAAATTCCCCAAGGGCCTGTGATGGTCTTTTCTTTAAAAGTGACTTTCTTAGCAGTTACTTTATTGTTATTAAACTTAGCCATGTGGCAAAATTTTGACAAAAAGCACTGAAAAATACGCACGCCATTCTTTTTCTGGGGTTGTTGGTCTGCTCTGTGCCACCACTAAGGTAAAATCCGCCTGAGGTGGACCAACTGCAGAGTGGATGAAACTGCCCCACGGTCCTGTGTAGTCTGGTCTGCAAGCACTGTGCAACTGAGCCATCCATATCCCTCATCCATTCCTCTGATTGGATAAGGAATTCTCTAGAAATCTGTGCTTTATATCAGTGAAACATAAGTCTGAATTTGCCAAAACTTCTGGGTTAGAATCATAATGCCCTGAAATGCTGTTCCGGTTGTTTACAGTGTGTAAATCCTCTGGAGAACAGTAAGGGATGTACGTGGTGCATCTGCTGGGCCTGCTTCATGGGAGCCTGAACAGATCTCTAGAGACCAGACGCCCTTCAGAGCACAGAATCACCACGGGGTTGGGTTTACTTGGTGGGCTTCGCTCCAGTGTGTTTTGATTGAAAACATGAGATTAAGATAAAATGTCCTTAGTGGCTTTAATTGGATTAAGTTGTAGTGTTTCTCAGGTCATTTGAAAGTCCTTCTTTTCCTGGAACATGATTTTCACAAATAGTAAGTTTACACCATATTTTCTAGTAGAATTAAAATATTTGGGCACTTTTTCAGAAAATGATATAATTTTCTGAAAATTAAACATTTCAAAAGAATCGCTTTAAATTCTCATGCAGATGTCCCTGTCCTCGGCCACCTTTCCATGATTCAAAATGGCGGCTTTCCAGTAAGGTGTTTATCTTAATTGTCTTTGACTCTAGAATCAAGGGTAACACAGATGTGTTAACTACCAGGCCTAGCTTTCTTCAGTTTTGTAGCGCTTACTAGAAAGCCAGCTGTAGCACACGTGGGGACATCTCCACAGTCTGGTGTATTGACATGGGACCAGGAGCGGCTCCTTTACACATGGGCATGTCTGGAGGTCACCCTAGCACTGTGGAAGGCCGGCTTTCTTTTGCAGTCTCTTTCAGAATGGGGGTGGGGGTCTAAGTGTCCTTATGAAGCTGTGGTCTAGGACAAGAATGTGGGGGGAGGGGGGTGTGTTCCTTCACTTTGCTGTGCCTGTGCTCAACAGCGATCATTTCTTAGAATAGCCCTTGCGGTAAATCTAGCACAGAATAGATTGTAGAGTTATGTTGCTAATTTTATTTTGAAATACGAAATATTTTAAGCTTTTTGTCAAAAGTGGTAACATCTTAATACAAATAAAAACCTTTTTGTGGTTGTAAGATTTAGCTTATGAATCATTCAAATTGAAGTGAAAGAATTGCCAGGTCATTGTTAATGACGTAGTCTATCAAGAGTCTATGTATTTTTGTAAAGGAAAAGCAACTGTAGATATTTAATCAGTATAAGGTCTGTGTCTGTTCCGCAGAAAGAAAATGCTGCTTAGAGATTCTCTTTAAATATTTTTTATTTTTGTGCTCACGTATTTTCTGTTAATCTATGGAATGTTCTGTACAAAACTGTATGACTGTACTGTTGAGCTGGATAGTTTTTGTTGTTGTTTTTTTAATTCTGGGCTTAGCCATGTATATTTGACCATGTTGAAAATAGTATCTTTGTTATTAAATTTTTGATTGCATATTTATTGCTTGCCTGTTTAGTGTTACTTGGTATATGAAGGCGTAAGTCACAAACAATGCCACACCAGTTTGGAATTATGATTAATAGGGTGGTATTTATTTAAAGGGGAAAAAACTTACAGATCACCGTCCCAGACAACAGCCCTCTGCACAACCAGGAAGGGAGTCTAGTCACCAGCGGAGCAGGAAGTGAAGAGACAGAGGAGAGGGAAGTGGCTGCTTTTTTAAAGGGAGAGAGACCACACCCCAATGGGCTGGTATCTCAGTGGCTATAGGCTGGAGGAGCGGAAGGACCTCCCACAACAGGTATAGACTACTACCTCTGTTAAAAAAACGTTCCTTTAAGTCGTTTGCATAGCAAATTTTACTGAGCTTTATTGAGTATTTGAGATTATAAATAAGTGTTATGGAACGTGTCTGAAGATGTGTCTGCCCCTTAACTAGTACCTCAGGTATCTACGTGTACATGCCAAATTATTCAAACACAGGGAGTCTCTAGAAAAGGTAATTATGGACCAAAGACTCAAGAGATTTGAAAGACTTTCCTCCACCACTTAGAGAACTTGGCTTTGAACATTCCTCACTGGTGGGTCGGTCAGCCGGTCGGTCAGTCGGTCCGTCGGTTGGTTGGTCGGTCGGTTGGGTCGTTGGAGGTGGGGTTTATTTGGTTTTCTTTGTTTTTTGCTTTTCTTAAGGCCTTAAAAGCAGTGCTTAATAACCTATGTGTTACAATCGCTGCTAACACAAAGCTTGACTTGTCTTTAGGTGTTATACCTAATTTCAACCCTTCTATGTCTGGTGACAGTGCAAGGTTTACAAAAAGTTATGATAAGGATGCCATCAGTGACCGTGGACATTGTAAGCCCCTTGTGGTATGCCTGGTGTCATTCTTGAGTCTTGTGTATTAGCTCATTTGGTTCTGATCGCAGCCCTCTTAAGATACGTTCTGTTAGTAGCCTCACTCACTATACAAGGAAAGAAACTCAGGCATGTGGGACTTGTGGTCCCTGGCCAGAGTTCTCAAAGCCAGAGGACATAGGCTTATGCCGTCTGACTCCGGTGTCTTTGGGGTCATCTTTTAGCTATGTCTCAGTGCACCCTGCATGCCATTTGCTTCAGAATTCTAGTTAGGCTAAAGACAGACCTCTGAGTCCGAAAGGCGGGAAGGCTTTTCCCTGTGCTCCACTGATGTTCGTGGATCATGAAGGTAGCAAGACAGCCCAGGCCCTCAGTATGTTGAGATGCAGCTGGATTCGGCCTCCTGCCTCTTACCTCCACTTTCACCATGGATGCTCAGAATGGGAAAGAGCAGGAAGGATCCTGCACAGGGAGTACCTGGACTATGGCACACTTCATCCTCCTTGCATGGCATTGGCCAGAAGCTGGGAGGACTAACTAGAGGACCTGGTAAAGCCATGGCCAAGCAGGAGAACACATTCAGCACAAACAGATAAATGTTTCACTTTCTGAACTTGCATTTGAGAGTGGAGGTCATAGTTTACCTGGGACTTCACAGTGTTCTTGTCAACACAGGCTTGGCTGTTACCTCTAGTTTAGAAGGATATTAAGGGTCTTGTGTGTGGGCTGTACCTGAGGAGTTCAACTTTTTATGTATCTGGGAATTTACAGGTGATATTTTCTGGAAGCCAAATCAAAAAGGATCCTTAACATTCCAAGTCCCGCCATGGAGTTTAGTGCCAGGATAGCTACCCTAAAGATGAGATGGGAATCGTGTCTATCAAGGCTAAGTGACACAGTGAAGGAAACTGTCCTGTTTGTTCAAACTAACCTCACTGGGCAGACCCACTCTTCACAGGCAACTCGGGGTTCCTGTTTCTTCAGACCTCAAGATCTCCTTATGAACCCATTCCTCCTGCTCAGCCCTACTCCTTTAAGCTCCGCACACCCGGGTCCTCACCCTATAAAGCTGTCCTCAGACAGCACCCTGTCTCTCTCAATAAGACCTCCTCCAAGCCCTGCCCAGAACAGCCAGCATCCCCTCTCACAGCCCCATCCACCCTCCAGGGCTGGTGACAACCATTTGGCCTTGCTCATCCCAAACCCACAAGCTTCCCTTGGAGTCCTGTTCCATCTAACAGAAGCACACTCTTTACCTGCTCACCTGGTGAACCCTGCCCTTATCAAGCCCCAGCCTTCCCCAGGAGCCTCTGTGGAAATGGCAGGGTCCTGCATTTGCAGCATCCTGCTGCCACAAAGCTGGTCCCTCCTTGAAGAGGACTCTCCTAGGTAGCCTGCACCCCTGTGTAACTTCCTGCTGCTCCTACAAGCCTGCACCATGCAAGACAGGCTTTCTGATGCTCTGTACCATCACTAAACAGCATAGCCCTTTCTCCGTGAACTCTGTTCCTTCTTAGGAAGCCCTGTTCCACCCCAGAAACCCTGTCCTGGAGAAGTTGCGTCCCTGCTGTAAGCCACTGGTCAGCCATAGAAGCCAGGCAGTGGTGGCACACACCTTTAATCCCAGCACTCGAGAGACAGAGGCAGATGGATCTCTGAGTTTAAGGCCACCGTGGGCTATACGAGATTGAATCTGTCTAAAAGAGAAACAGAGCTTATACAAAGATGATTCCAGCACTTGGGATCCCACGCCTTTAATCCCAGGACTAGGGAGGTGGAGACAGGAATGATAAAGCTGGGCGGAGAGAGGAATATAAGGCGGGAGGAGACAGACGCTTAGATGCAGTTTGAGGGTTTGTAGAGACAGAACCACCTCTTCTATGTGAGCATTGGTAGAGAGGTAAGGACTTTCTAGCGGCTGGCCACTCTACTCTGATCTTCAGCATTAATCCCTATATCTCACTCTGGGTTTTTACTATTAATACCAACTAGAATTTGTGCTACACTCACCTGTGGGCTTTCCTGGAGTTTCCTTTTAAGTTGCATTTATAAGGCCATCCATTGTAAGGTTATATACTGCATCTGCTCACAGATCCCCCCACCCCCTTCTGAAACCGCTGCCCCTTCTTCAAAGCTTCGCTGCTCCATATAGCTCCAATCTCCTTATATAGCGCTTTCTCCTAATCCCCCAACTGACTTGAACATAGCCTACAGTGTCCCAGACCTCCTGTGTGGCCTGGATCCTTCTAGAAGGCCCTGATCACATGTATGCCCTAGGTCCATCCTTATAAACTCTACTTATTCTACAAACCTTGCCAGCTCCCTAGGAAGCCTTTGTTCCTTCTAGAAAGCTCTCACCTGCTACAAACTCCTGTGCTTCCTAGGAAGTTCTACTTTCTATGAGCCCTGCTTCTCACAAAACCCACTCCTTCAAAGCTTTGCCTCCGTGTCTAGTATTGTATGTCTCCCGACAAAGTTCTGTTTGCCGTACAAGCCCCTTATCCTGTTGGATGCCCAAGCCTGGAGAAGCAATGTGTGCCTGAACTCTCAGCCACTTAGGAGATTGAGACAGGAGGAATGATTGAGCCCAATAGTTTGAGACCAGCGTAGGCAGCATAGACAAACCCTGACTCAAAGAAAGATGCTAAAATTACCTGTGTCTAACAAAAGCCTGTCTTGCCCCTCGAGGTCCCTGCTTTTCATACGAAGCCCTGGACCTACTTACAGTGCCCTATTTCTTCTACTGCACAGCTTATGCCCTGCCAAGCACGTTTGGCCACACTATCTTACTCCCATAGCACCTTCCTCAAAACCACTGACTTCTTTGCAGGAGATTATGAGCCTAGACAGGGGTATTGTTCATGTGACACATAGAGCTTACACCATAACCAGAGTAAACGGTAGTGAATGAAACTGATTTCAGAGGGGATTGATACCCACAGGAGTCTTCAGCACTGTCCACTGCCTCCTTCTGTGACATGGGCTCCATCTCTACTTGAGAATTTCTGTGGTAAGTACAAAAGATGTCAGTTCATAAACACATTGCCCACTTGGGATAAGGTTCCTATATCCTTGTGTATGGTGGAGGCAGGATCTGATCTGCCTTCCTGCGCCCATTGTTCCCCCAGCATTGTATAAAAGCAGGGGCTGGAGAGATCGCTCAACACTTTAGAAGATGCGCTGCGCTTACAGACGACCCGGGTTTGATTCCCAGTACAAACGTGGTGGGTCACAACCACCCATAGCTCCAGTTCTGGGTGACCCAATGCTCTTTTCTGACCTCACCAGCGCCAAATATATCACAGTGTGCATTCCCTACTGCAGGACTGCAGGCTAGAAGACACAGAGGGGCCCCAGGGAAATGTCAGTGAGACCCAAGCCAATAGAAGTGGGGATGGAGGGAGGGGATGTCTTCGACAGCTCCCAAAAGCTGCCGAAACAATCATCTGCCACCTCCATACCATCCTGTATCACAACTGCCACCATCATAGCACTGCCAACACTCCCACGATTGTACCAGCCCTGTTACCAGCACATGCACATCTCCCAGCCCTGTTACTGCCATTAGCACCTCCACCATCGCTGTGCCCATCAGCACCACCACCATCGCTGTGCCCATCAGCACCACCACCATCGCTGTGCCCATCAGCACCTCCACCATCGCCATTTCCACCATCCCTGTCCATTATCACTCCCCTGTCATGCCAACCGCCACCACCATACCTAACCCGATCACCATCTTCTCTACCACCGCCGTTACTACTGTTCCAATCGCCGTGACCACGTCACAACCACCATGCCATCTACCCCCCTCCACCTTACTAGGTTCCAGGCGAAGGTCTTAGATAGCAGGTGGGGAAGGTGACCCAGAAGGTGAGAAGGTAACTTGAAACCACAAAAAGAGCAGCCACAGACAAAGCCTCCCTGCTGCTTTAGGAAGCGCGGGGGGGGGGGGGGGGTGTTGGGGGGGATTAGGGGCAGAGAGCTGGGTTCAAGTTCAAATAGATGGAAAGAGCTCTCAAAAAGCCTTCCCTAGCCTTGTCTAGGACCTGACATCCAGGGCTCCCCACACCACCCGGGGCTCTGCCAACCACCTTTCCTGCTCCTGCTCTGGGATAGCTTCTGTCCAAGGTAGCCTAGA